TATTATTTTTTGCTCCAAAAGACACATTAGGGCTTATTTGCTGGTTAGGTCTTATTTTGAGGGAAATACAGTACTAAATTCCTCCATCTGGCTGAGGATCTTAACTGGGGCTTATTTTGGGGGGTAGGGCATATATTAAGAGCATCCTGAAAAATCATGCTAGGGCTTATTTTCTGGTTGGGTCTTATTTTCTGGGAAACAGTAGCAAGAAGAAATCAAGAACCGGGGGCCACAGAGAAGAATCCATGAACTGCTCTAAAGCAGGAGCATCAAACTCAAGGGTCCTTAGATCTGGCCCTGGAAACAGTAAAGGACTGGCGTGCTGTGCCAGCGAAAATGGAGCTCATATATTATATGCCTTCTGCAGCCCTCTGTGAGCTTGGGAGGGCCGGACTCCAACACGAGTGATGTCGAGCTGGCCATGCCCCCTGGCCATGCCCCCCCAAGGTCAAACACAGCCCTGATGCAGCCCTCAATGAAATCGAGTTTGACACCCCTGTTCTAAAGGTATTCATTATTATTTGTGTTTCTTCAACCACATTGATCTAGAACAATGTTTTCCAACCATGGCAACTTTCAGATATGTTGACTTCAACTCCCAGCATTCTCCAGCCAGCTTGGCTGACTGGGGAATGCTGGGAGTTGAAGTCCTCACATCTGAAAGTTTCCATGGTTGAGAAACACTGATCTAGAAGAGCCTTCTGATGGAGAATTAACCTGGGTTGTTCTGGAGAGGATAGCCCTTAAAAAAAAATAATCTTACTAAGCTACAGTTAATTAAGGAAGCCTTCATTGTTATACACTATGCTAAGCCATCATTTCCAAACCAAACCTTGATTTTCAAACCCAATGGGTATTGATTAAGTGTGTGAGTGTGTGTGTGAATTTAACTGATGGGAAGACATAAGTGCAATTCATACACTGTGCTGTCTCGAAATGAAATCTTTTGACTTGGTAATGATGTGTGAAACCAACCATTGTGTTTCTAAACTAACATTTATGACTTAAAGCTGTGTGAGAATAAGGACATTATGGCGTAGTCAACAAGCCAATTTTTTTTGAGAGAGCTTCCACACATACTCTTAAAATCCCAAAATTGACTATTGGCTTAAAAAGGTCATTTGCTCTGGTTTCCTACTACTCCTTAGGATTCTAAACCTGGATTTATGTCAAATGTTTGCGAATGAAATTCACCTCTATACTCTGAGTTATAGCAATAGCAATAGCACTTAGACTTACCGTATATACCACTTCACAGTGCTTTTATAACCCCATCTAAGCAGTTTACAGAATCAGCCTATTGCCCCCAACAATCTGGGTTCTCATTTTACCAGCCTCAGAAGGATGGAAGGCTGAGTCAACCTTGAGCCTGGCGAGATTTGAACTGCCAAATTGCAGGCAGCTGGCAGTCAGCAGAAGGAGCCTACAGTACTGCACTCTAACCACTGCGTCACCGGGACTCATATAAGTCATTTCCCAACAGTTTTGCTTTTGGTCACAAGTAATTTGGACCATAAGAAAGGCTGAGCACCAAAGAATTGAGGCCTTTGAACTATGGTGCTGAAGAAGACTCCTGCGAATCCCTTGGACTGCAAGGTGATCCAACTGGTCAATCCTAGAGGAGATCAACCCTGACTGCTCTTTAGAAGGCCAGATCCTGAAGATGAAACTCAAATACGTTGGCCACCTAATGAGAAGGAAGGACTCACTGGAGAAGAGCGTAATGCTGGGAACGATTGAGGGCAAAAGAAGAAGGGGACGACAGAGAATGAGGTGGCTGGATGGAGTCACTGAAGCAGTAAATGTGAGCTTAAATGGACTCCAGAGGATGGTAGAGAATAGGAAGGCCTGGAGGAACGTTGTCCATGGGGTTGCGATGGGTCGGACACGACTTTGCAAATAACAACAACAACAAATTTGGTGTCTTTTCGAGCAGCATTACAAATGCAATTAAGTAGCATCCAGGAAGAAAAAAATAACTCAAATGTTTTCCTATCTCATTGGCATTCCACTTGAATGGTATTAAACCTGCCAGAATTGTTCAAAGCATTAAAGAGGACAATATAGGTCTAATATTTCCTTCCTCATTCTCTCCTCCATGGTGTCTGTCTTCTTCATGTGAAGAAGCATTGAGAACAGCCTTTATATTTCAAAAATCCCACAACGGTCAGGATGTCCCCTGCCAAAACTGAGACAGGAGTGGAAAACAATTCCTCTATCTGAATGCAAGCCCCAAGTGTTGGAAATGCGACCACCATCAAGGTACCTTCTACCACATGTGGTGGACGTGCCCAGAAGCGAGGAAATTCTGGAAAAAAATACAAAAATGGATCCAAGAAGTATTAAATGAGGATATTAACTTTCTGCCTGAAATCTATCTCCTGGGAGTGCTAAAACGAAAATTTGTTAAGGAAAAGAAATATCTGATTATTCATATTGTCACAGCTGCTAGACTCTCCTACGCCAGTTGCTGGAAAGAGAAAGGATGTCCAACTGAGGAACAGGTAGTCAATAAAGTATTGGAATGTGGAGAAATGTGCAGATTAACGTATGTGTTGAACGGAAAGGAAGACTCAGAATTCTACACGATTTGGGATCTGTGGTATAGGTGGTTGAAAAATAAATGCAAAAGTTAACCTTTATTAGGACAATGTATAATTACTAATTAAATCTATATATTATTGTTGTATTCAATTTTACAAAATTCACGTATAAATTGTATAATATTTAGATAATCGATTAGATTCCATATTTGTAAATGTACAAGATGACTACACGTTGCCGAACCGTAGAGTTCGAAATGTAATATATTCTTTATTCAATAAAACTTCATTAAAAAAAAAAAAAAGGAAAACAATTCCTCAGCCCATAAAGATTAGACTATAAATCCCACAGGGTCTCGTAGGGGTTCTACAAGGGTGAGTGGAAGCCTCCAACCACGTGCATTCCCTCAAGCACATTCGTTTGATCAGCTGCTGTACGGTAGCTGTGGGAGAAGCAGGGAAGCTGGCTCAGAAATATCCATCCCTCATTGTTAGGTTGCGAGAACTTTCGACTCTGACTCCAGGATTAGAATGGGATTTGCCGGTTCCATTGTGAATTGCTCTCCTCCCTCTCTTCTTAGTTGTTTCCAATCTTCTAACTTCCCTCCAAGAATGTGGGGGGTTAAAGACGTACAAACTGTATATATATCTTTATAGGTTTACACATGGGAGAAAAAAACCCTTGAAGTTTATCTGTAAAAGAAAACCCCCGTATGAACTTTTCACTTTAATTCAAAGGAAAAAAAACATTTAGTTAATTATTTTTCATACTTTAGTTCACCATAGTCTTCATCTGAACAGGACACTTTAAGGGAAACAATCCTTGAGGGTTATTCTACTTCCTTCCTTCCTTCCTTCCTTCCTTCCTTCCTTCCTTCCTTCCATCCATCCATCCATCTATCTATCTATCTATCTATCTATCTATCTATCTATCCACCTATCTATATCTATATCTATCATCTATTTGTCAACCATCTACCCATCCCTCCTTCCCTCCATTTATAACTCTATCTCCATCCACCCATCCATCCATCCATCCATCCATATCTATCATCTATGTCTCTATCTATCTATCTATCTATCTATCATCTATCTATCTATCTATCTATCTATCTATCTATCTATCTATCATCTATCTATCCATCCATCCATCCATCCATCCATCCATCCATCCATCCATCTATATCTATCATCTATCATCTATAGACATAGATGATCTATCTATCCATCCATCTATATCTATATCTATATCTATATCTAGATCTAGATCTAGAGCCTTGGTGGCGCAGCAGACTAAAGTGCTGTTAATTAGCACCAGCTGCCTGCAATTACTGCAAGTTCAAATCTCACCAGGCTCAAGGTTGACTCAGCCTTCCATCCTTTCTAAGGTAGGTAAAATGAGGACCCGGATTGTGGGGGCAATAAGCTGACTTTATATATAAAAAAGAACACTGATGGCGGGGGGGGGCTGAAAATATGAAGGCTATTGCTTAACGCATTGTAAGCCGGCCTGAGTCTCCGGAGAAGGGTGGCATATAAATCGAACCAATAAATAAATATAGCTATAGCTATCTTCTATCTATCATCTATCATCTATCATCTATCATCTCTATCTCCATGCACCCACCCACTCATCCACCCACCCACGCATCTATCCATTGCATAAATATAAAAGGTATGCAAAAATATACTTAGGAATCTTTTTTAAAAATGGCTTTATAAATGTCCTTATTTTCCATCAACAGCTGCACATTCTAGGAAGTGTTCAAGACAATGTATTTAACATCAAAAACTTTTATTGCTATTGTGTTACTCCTGCTTTTTAAAATTTAAAATTACATACAGTAACCAAATCATAAGGTACCACTTGGGAAAGACTTAATGTGCTATGATTACATACGGAATCAGCATATTGAAGGTCCTAATTTTGACTGCTGTAAAGACTGTTTTTCTTCCCCGTCTCAGCTGGATTCCCAAACTCTCTAAACAGTTCTTCCCCCACCCCTCTTGTCAGGTGTATTTATGGATCATTGCAGATCTTCCAGGAAACTTCCTATAATTTAAGATTCTGAGACCATTTTAGAGTCCATAATGCATCTAATAGTAATTTTCTCTTAGGCTTTCCAATAACCAACACTTTTTCTTCTTTTGCATATTTTTGGATTCATTCTCAAATATGAAGTGAGAAATAACAATTAAATTAATTGGTAATCAATCAATCAATCAATCAATCAATCAATTAATTAATTGATATTTTGATTACCTGGAGTAACTGAGAACATACTTGTGGTCTATATTATAGACTTGTGGTTCAAATAAGCATTTATTTTCTTCCAGAGAAGTTTGAAAACAGAAAGTTGACAGGGTTCAAAATACAAATTTGAACCCTCTTCTCAAGGATCAATTACCAGATTTCTTTGGAGGTACTTGTGCCAGTTAATCAATATAAAACCAATACAGCTTTGTAAGAGATCTTTATTCCAAGTTTTTGGATATAACCGTCAGTTTGTTTCCAAATGGGGTCCTTAGTTTTCCAACAGACACATTCCATGTGTTTCTTTCTTTTTTTTTTAACTTTATTTTTTTTAGCAAAACAAAAAAAATAATAATAAAAACAAAACAAAGCTGTAACCCAAATGTACAGATTAAAAAAGATGTACAAAAATGGATTTGATAGTAAAAAAAAAAACCCAACAACAACCACAACTGTATTTGTGACCGAGGTCAACTCGTTTCAGTTTTCATCAATACTGTGAGATATAGGTTAAAAACATAACTCTGCATAATTTATACAGTAAGTTGCCCTCTGACTTTGTTGACCTCTTCGGTAGCAGACTGACAAACGCACAGCGTTCGTGAATCGGTAATGTTTATTTTGCAATTCCCCAAACTTTGTTGAAGCTGGTGGAGTTGCTGTCATTTTATATTAGTTCCATTTTGCATTCTTAAGAATATCTGTCCTCAATGCATTATACCTTCCTGTTTTATTTTTTTTCCTGGTGCCTTATGCTTCCAGAGTTATTAACAAAACCATGTGACTTAATGCACATTCTTGTAAAGTCCTTTCAATGCCCTTAGTTGCTTTAAAATATACATATTTATTTATATTTCATTCTCTTTTTTTTTCCAGTTGAGTGAAAAAAGAAACCCCAAGCCTTCATTGGCCTTAAAGCTAAATTTCCAGTTGATTATCTGCAAATCGAGTCTTCAAAATTTGTGAATTTTCTTCAGCACATCTCAAAACTGATTTCCCATTAGTTTGGAAGAAACATTCATGTTCTAAAAGTCATCGGTTTTGATCTTCCTTTTTTGAAAAAAAGCTTTTTGACTTGACAATACTTCGTCTACAGTTCTTGAGTGATAACTCACAGCACAAGTGTTGAAGCAGGTCCTATAAATGAGAAAAAGGCTTTGAACCAAAAGGAAAGGCAGGATACTGGCCCACTGGAGAACCCATCTGCTCCTCTGGAAGCAGAGTTAGAAAAATAAAAAGGTTTATTCCAATAAAAATTACAATAAAAAATAACAATATTAATATCCGGGTTTTTTTTTTTTAAGCTTTCTCCCCAACTTTATAAAAAAAAAAACCCTCCCGAGAGTTTCCAAAAATGGAAGAAAACATCCAGTCGAAACGAGAAACATCAGCAAAGATGAAAAGCATTTAGTAGTAGCTGCCTAGGTGTGAGGACATGTGGGAATTAGCATGGCGGGGTACGTTGGGATTTGGATAAATACTTCCAGCCGGAGAAGTCCAGTAGGGTGAGGCCGCCCCAAAGAAACTAGAGGAAGTGACGGGCATAGAGGATGGATGGGGAGGGACGAAGTTCATTTTCTGCTGGTGCGCGTGGTAGGAAGGCATGTAAGAGAGATCCGAAGGATACTTATACATTGACGATTCAGTTGGGTGAGGCTGAAGTGCTTGCGCAATGCCGTGAAAGTCAAATTTGTAAGCGTATCTCTTGCCGTGCACTTTGGTCATAATGTTCTTGTCATAGTAATATCGGAGGGCTCGACTCAACTTGTCATAATTCATGTTGGGTTTACTTTTGCGTTCTCCCCAGCGCCTGGCCACCTCATCGGGGTCGGTCATTTTGAACTCCCCATTGGTTCCTTCCCACGTAATGCAGCTCGCATTGGAACTGTCTGAGAGCAACTCAAGGAGGAATTGCCACAGTTGGATCTGTCCACTCCCTACGAGAGAGGAGAAAGAGAGAGAGACAATCAATTATAAACTTCTCTTCTTGCTGTTCACAGATCAGCCAAAAAGTTACATCTGACTGGTGAGTGTGTTCTGCCCCAGCTACGGATCCCAAAAAACGCAGCACATACAAAATCTGTACAAAACTTAATTTACTAAAATAACTCAGTCTTTTTCAAACAACGGCTGTTAATAAACTTTCTTAACAGCCTACAAGAAACCAAAGATAAAGTAATCACAATCTTACTATGGTTGGCGGAAAGTCCAGAAGCAATTTGCAGAGAATCCAGACGTGAAGGAGAATGAACTAAAGTTGTTCCCTACAAATTGCTTCAGTCGGCGTTCCTCCTTAAATAGGCTAAGGGAGTGGCCAATTAGCCCCAAGCCTTACTCTCGAGCAGACCTCCTACTGAGGAGCCACTCCTGCCTTTTGGCAGCTCTGCGCGCCCGTGCATCGAGAAGAGGGTCCTCCTCTTCGTTCTCTTCACTTAAAGGAGCTTCTGGAGGTTCTGAAGGCCCTGGCTGAATCCCTGCCTCTGGCACCACATCTTCTCCAGCCTCCTCATTGTCTGACTCGAATGCCAGCTGCACAGGCTGCTGGCGCAGCACCATACCAGCCTCCTCGCTGTCAGAATCAGCTACAATCCGCACAGGCCGCTGATGGGCCACAACAGAGTGTTAGAGACATAGTGGTTGCTCCAGAGCTCCATAAAAAGAAGTTAACTTTAAAAATATTTTTTAAACAATCCTTGCTTTTCAGTTTCTGATTCACTTATGATGTTTAGATTAGATTAAGATTAGATTAACAGAGTTGGAAGGGACCTTGTAGGTCATCTAGTCCAAACCCTCACCCAAGCAGGAGACTCTACACCATTTCTGACAAATGGCAGTCCAGTCTCTTCTTGAAAGCTTCCAGTGATGAAGCTTCCACAACTTCCAAAGGCAACTTCTGTTCCATCGGTTGATTGTTCTCACTGTCAGAAAATTTCTCCTTATTTCCAGGTTGAATCTCTCCTGGATCAGTTTCCATCCATTATTCCTTGTCTGGCCTTCAGGTGCTTTGGAAAATAGCTTGACCCCCTCCTCTCTGTGGCAGCCCCTCAAATATTGAAATATTGCTATCTTGTCTCCCCTGGTCCTTCTCTTCACTAGACTAGCCAGTTCCTGTAACAGTTCTTCATATATTTTAGCCTCCAGTCCCCTAATCATCCTGGTTGCTCTTCTCTGCACTTTTTCTAGAATCTCAACATCTTTTTAATGGTGTAGTGGCCAAAACTGGATGCAGTATTCTACGTTGCTACAGTAGCTTATAACCGCCTTCTTTTTAAAAAAATAAATAAATGATAACGTGATTGTTTCATATCTATTGCAAGAATTATAGTACATTTATTGACTTTATACTGAGAGTGAGATAGATGAATTATCTCATGGGTTGGGCTAGGTTTGACTCAGGTGGACTTACCTGGATTGGCTAAACGGCTACTGGTGGGCCCTAAGATCTGATATGGATCTAAATGGAGAAAAGAACAGAGGATTAGAATGATGTTGGTGAAATGTACAGCACAGAGACAAACAAGCCATAAATGCATTTTTAGCTTGAATATAGTGTTACTCCCATTTTCTATATCAGCATCTGTGCTATTATTCCTCAAGCAGAATGGAAATGGTAGAGAATGAACCTCAACATTTCTGTACTAGGAATGTGGGAATCTGCTACCCAGAACAGGACAATTGAGATCTAAGGGATGGAGTTTGTTTATAATAGTAGAGTGGTTAGTTTGTAAGATTCTCAAACTTAGCAAATGAGATAATCCTTGTGGATCTATGAAGGAGCGTGAACTCCCTTTCTGAGAATAGGATAGGATAGGATAGGATAGGATAGGATAGGATAGGATAGGATAGGACAGAATAGAATTCTTTATTGGCCAAGTGTGGTTGGACACACAAGGAATTTGTCTTTGGTGTATATGCTGTCAGTATACATAAGGAGAATAAATACATTCACCAAGAATAAAAAGATACAATACTTAGTGACAGTCAAGGTTACTAATAAGCTATCAAATCGTACTAGGAAACAAATAAAAATTGAAAGATACAAGCAACATGGTTATAGTCATAAGTGGGAAGAGATAGATACTAGTAAGGAAGAGAAGAATAATAGTAATACAGTCTTAGTAAATTATTTGACAGTGTTGTGGGAATTAGTTATTAAGCAGAGTGATGGCTATCGGGAAAAAACTGTCCTTGTGTCTAGTTGTTTTGGTGTGCAGTGCCCTATAGGGTCATTTTGAGAATAGGAGTTGAAACAATTTATGTCCAGGATGTGAAGCAGTGGTGAGTTGCCCCCGGTTCAGACCGGTTCGCAAGAACCAGTAGTAAAACCACCAGGAGGCTCCGCCCACTGACCTGGATGTCATCAGAAGTGATCTGCGTATGCACGATGCGAACCAATAGTAAATGCGAGGGGTCTATAAATATTTTCTTTTTGACTTGTGCAGCATACAAGTCCTCAATGGAAGGCAGGTTGGTAGTAATTGTTTTTTCTGCAGTTCTAATTATCCTCTGAAGTCTGTGACTGTCTTGTTGGGTTGCAGAACCAAACCAGACAGTTATGGAGGTGCAGATGACAGACTCAATAATTCCTCTGCAGAACTGAATCAGCAGCTCTTTGGGCAGTTTGAGCTTTCTGAGTTGGCGCAGAAAGAACATTCTTTGTTGTGCTTTTTTGATCACGTTTTTGATGTTAGAATTAATAGATTAATTAATAGATTAATATTAATAAATATTAATTAATGAATTAGAATGACTAATCCCAAGAAGTGTTTGGTTATAGTTATTTGCAGCTCCCTGCTACAGGTAATCCTCAATTTACAACTTCATTTAGTGACCATTCAAAGTTACAATGGCCCTGAAAAAAGTGACTTATGACTGTTTTTTTCACACACCATTCTATTCAAATAATAGTCACATAACAATGCGATCTTTTCCCCCCCTAAAATCAATAAAATTGTGTACATTCCAGCATTATTACCTGGTTGGGGTCTTTGTTGTTCTCCATTTTTGCTTACATTTTGTGTCCCTCCTAGAGGAGGGCCTAGTGAAGCAAAGAAGAAAGGTTAGGTTAGGAAAAAGAAGGAACTGGATACAGCAGACCCCAAAATAATATGTATGTCCTTTAAATTCACCAATATTTATTCTAAAAGGAGGTGAAGTTCACTGCACTCTTATGACATTTCCACAAACTCTATTTTCTAACATACCCACCCATGAACCCATTATCCTTCGATTGGCATAGAAAATGAAACCAGAATCTTTCCAATGTTCAAATTGCAACAGCAAAAACTGTGTGTGTCTATGACTATGGGAATGTGTCAGCAGTGGGTTGCTCCCGGTTCGGTCCAGTTCTATAGAACCGGTAGTAAAACCGGCGGGAGGCTCCATCCACCTGCCATGATGTCATCATGGGTGATCTGTGCATGTGCAGAAGGACGGGCGCTCCCGCTGCGAACCGGTAGTAAAGGTAAGTAGAACCTACCCCTGGAATGTCTGTGTGTGAACAGCAATAGCAATAGCACTTAGACTTATATACTGCTTCATAGTGCTTTACAACACTCTCTGAGCGGTTTACAGAGTCAGCATATTGCCCTCAGCCACCTGGGTCCTCATTTTACTGACTTCAGAAGGATGGAAGGCTGAGTCAACCTTGATCCAGTCAGGATTGAACTCCTGTCAGTGAGCAGTCAGACTGCAATACTGCATTCTAACCACCGTGCCACCACAGCTCCATGTTGGAGAGTAAACCCTCAAAGCATCGTGTCATATTGTTAGCAAAGCAGTAGCACTTAGACTTATATACCGCTTCACAGTGCTTTGCAGCCCTCTCTAAGTGGTTTACAGAGTCAGCATATTGCCTCCAACAATCTGGGTCCTAATTTTATTGAACTTGGAAGGATGGAAGGCTGAGTCAACCTTGAGCAAGTCAGGATTGAAATGATGGCCGATGGCAGAATTAGCCTGCAATAATGCATTCTAACTACTGCACCAGCACAGCTGAGATAGCAATAGCACTCCATATTGCTCCATAGTGTTTTATACTTCTGGGAAGTTTACAAAGTCAGCATCTTGCCCTCAACAATTTGGGTCCTCATTTTATCGACCTTGGAAGGATGGAAGGCTGAGTCAGCCTTGAGTCTGGTGAAATTCGAACAGCCAAATTGCAGGCAGCCGGCAGTCAGCAGAAGTAGCCTGCAGTACTACATTCTAACTACTGTGCTACTACAGCTCTTGGTCTATAATTCTCAAGGTCACTTAAGATGGTCCTGAACCCTGATATTGAGAAAAAGATGACAGAAATACTGCAACAAAAGACTCCGGTTCTTTCCAACATGACAAGCTGAGATCACAGAGCTCTCTTTATGAATCTCTAGGGAACTTTTCTGTTCTTGAGATATTTGGATATTTATCCAGAAAAAAATAAAGTGCCAAAGGAAAGGTCTCCAGCAGGACCTCTACTGCCATTTGATTTTGCTTCAAGACCGGTGTAGATCAATGTTTCTCAGCCTTGGCAGCTTTAAGTCGTGTGGACTTCGTCTCCCAGAATTCCATGCTGGCTGAGGAATTCTGGGAGGTGAAGTCCACAAAATTGCCATGGTTGAGAAATACTGGTGTAGAAGATTAAATTAGTGTGGACAATAGTATGAGAACACCATCATTGATAAAAAGTCTGTAGAGATTCTCAGTCATCCAGGTTATGGCTGTCCCAGAGGTGTTTTTTCAGGAGGCAACTGGACTTTCTTATTTTTTCTTTGAAGACATTTTGCCTCTCATCCAAGAAGCTTCTTCAGCTCTGACTGGATAGTGTGGAATGGCAGTCAGAGCTGAAGAAGCTTCTTGGATGAGAAGCGAAACGTCTTCAAAGAAAAAACAAGAAAGTCCAGTTGCCTCCTGAAAAAGCACCTTTGGAACAATCATTGATACCAACTACACAACATGTTAAAATTTTAAAACATGACTTCTCCCGAAAACCATCTCTCGGCCTATCAAGGCAAAAGGTGTATCATCATCATCATCATCATCATCATCATCATCATCATCATCATTTATTTATTTATTAAATTTATATACCGTCCTACTCCTGAAGGACTCAGGGCGGTGAACAGCCAGAAAATAAAATACATATAATACAAACGTTAAAAACCATTTAACGTTTTTAACGTATCAGAGTAACTCACTTTTATTGTGGCTGGAATTCAGATTATTACCCCATCCTGATCTTCGAACAGCATCATAGGAGTTCTCTAATCATAATTAAAAGCAAACAAAAGAGAATAACAATTAATTGCAAATCATGACATTTGATGCTTAACAATAATTGAGAACTATCTACAATAGTGGCCAAAATTGTGGAAACCTTTTGGGAAAAGTATATTCTCTAAAACCAGCTAATAACACCACTTTTTTTTTTTTTGGAGTAGTACCATAAAATTATATACCAATGGAAAGATAATTTAATCAAGAATGTAATGCAATAATGCTTATGAAGGATTTGCTATTAGAATAGCAGTTACAGTTTAAAGAAGAAAAGTGAAACACGTAGAAAAAAACTAGATATACAAAAATGATCACCATGTCAGTTAATACTTAGTTGGGTAACCTTTAGCATGAATTACAGCCTTACAATGTCTTCCCATGGAGTGAACCAAGTCTTTTAGTTCTGCAGCTGTTATCATGTGAAACCAAGACTGAATGATGGCTCCTATTAACTGGGTTTTATTGCTGGGTGGCTTCTGACTAACAAGTTTCTTTAGTCGGCTCCGTAGATTTTCAATTGGGTGAAGGTCTGGGCTATTCCCAGGCCATTCCAGCAGTGGAATATGATAATCTTAAAACTCAAAAAAAAAGTGGTATTATTAGCCATTAAACCTCAAAAATACACTTTTCCCAAAAGGTTTCCACAAGTTTGGCCACTACTGTACAAGTCAAATGCTATACTTTTGTTAGACAAACTACGGAAAGAAACCTATTTCATACTCCGTTGCTGCCTAGAATTCTGATGTTGGTGTTGAAGGAGGAAGATTGCCATACAGAATGAGAGGTTGCCAAGGAAGTTAAATATTCATGATGGATTTGAAAATCTAGTACAAATGTGACAAACTAGAAGATAAATTAAAAGACATGATGTCATGGATGGAAACTATTCAAGGAGACATCCAATCTAGAACTAAGGAAAAATTTCCTGACAGTTAGAGCAATTAATCAGTGGAACAGCTTGCCTCCAGAAGTTGTGGATGTTCCAACACTGGAGGTTTTTAAGAAGAGATTGGGCAACCATTTGACTGAAATGGTTTAGAGTTTCCTGCCTGAGCAGGGGGTTGGACTAGAAGACCTCCAAGGTCCCTTCCCACCCTGTTATTCTGTTTTATTCTGTTAACTACTGGCAGTAGATGCCAGTGAAATAAGCAGATGAAGCAGGAACCTGGTTTGTTTCAAAACAAACGGTTGGCATTGTTGCACCCATCATAGACCACAAAACAGATGACATATATTCCAACTATTACAAAACTTTTCAAAATCATGGAGACCATGCCAAGTATGATTGTAAGATGACAGATCATTCGAAGAAGGAACATGTCCCAGCAGTTGTTGCTAACAGTAGAGGTACAAGGCAACCATTGTCCTCATAGCTTGCCTTGAGGGCTTTCTTTCTTTCTTATTTATTTATTTTATACACAGCCGCCCAATTCAAACAATTTGACTTTTGGTAACATGCAAGAAAGATCACCCATAACAAATGCAACTTGAAAAAGTACAACAGAGCTTAAAAATCAACAGAAAGAGAGAGCACCCAGATTCAACTCTACTGCAAGTCATTTGATTGGGACTCCATTCAACCTGCTTTACTAATGGCCCTTCTTAGGAGTGTACAGACTTTTGAGACAATATTTGTTCTAGGTCAGTGATGGCTAACCTTTTTGCCATTGCATGCCAAAAGCAGGGGTCGCGGAGGGGGGGGGAATCGCGTGCACATGTGCCAGCACCCATAATTCAATGTGCCATGCGCTTGCAACCCCCCCTGCACTCCCCCCACTTTTGGCACCGTGGGACCGGAAGGCCTGTTTTTCACTCTCCCCAAGCTCCAGAGCCTTTCTAGGAGCCTGGGGAGGGTGAAAATGGCCTTCCCTACCCTCCGGAGGCCCTCCGGAGACTGTAAATGGCCTGTTTGCTGATTTCTGGAAGGCCCGAAAATCAGCTGGCCATCATGCGCATGCCCACCGGAGCTGACCTAGGGCAATTTCGCGCACCCACCGATATGGCTCCGCGTGCCACCTGTGGCACACGAGCCATAGGTTCACCATCATGGTTCTAGGTTGACATGTGGTTTGATCCATCAAGATTTTTGTCCTGATGTGTTTACCTACATGCAGACCTGATCAGAAGTGGTATTCAGCCGGTTCAGAATGGTTCACTCGAACCGGTAGCGGAAATCGTGGGTGGACCTGCCCCTGCCCCGGCTCTATGCTGTCCTATTTAGGCATGTTTTTGAGGCTGGGTGCATGCGTGGAAGGCCAGGCACATGCATGGACATGCTTGTGCTCACATTTGTGAACCAGTAGGGAAAGTAAGTGAGTACCACCCCTGGAATCTGATGGTTTTTGAATATCTCCAATCTAGCAATTGAATACACAACCACACAACCACTGAATACCAGTGGTGGTATTCAGCCGGTTCTATTGGGTTCGGGCAAACTGGTAGCAGCGGCTGTAGGTGGCTTTACCCACACACCTGGATGTAATCACGTCCCATCTATCCACATTTTTGATTCTCAGCGTGCGTGCTCACATTTGCGAATCGGTAGTGAAGGTAAGTGAATACTACCCCTGCCATAAACTCTCTCTCTCTCTCACTCACACACACACACACAAACACAATTTTTCTATTAAATAATCACAGACTGGACTCAATGCAAGACCATTTCTCAAAATTCTGAAAGTTGAAGTCCACATATCTTAAAGTTGTTAAGGGTCAGAATCACTGCTCTAGACAGCAGGTCTGAAGTGTCTTCCTTTGAAAGCAGTAGCTATTCTGGAATTTATTTTTTTATATTACAGAAGAGAAGCGTCAAAGAGACACAGTGGCCCACCAGGTGCCCTTAGGACAGGGGTGTCAAACTGCGTCATGTGCCGGTCACGCCCACCTCAGCTTTGCGAATGGGAAAAAACGGCAACATGACGCCACGAATTTGACACTCATGACTTAGGAGACTCACAAGCCTGGATAGATATTTTATTGCCTGCTCCCTCATGTGTGACATTTAAGGTTTGCGGCCTATAATTCCAGAAATAACAATTAACCATCAAGCTGAGTAGCCATTGACAGCTTGAAGCTCTTTTTAAAACCATCTCAACTGTTGACTGTTGCCACATCTGGGAGAGAATCCATGGACTGCGAATTCTATCATTTCCCTCATGGAAACGATGGAACGCAATATGACTATTCACATTGTTCCCCGAGTGAACAAGAAATAACACTTAAAAAGTACACGCAAATAAAATGTAACGAAAGAGGATTCCCTGAACGAAAAAGACACAATATTCTGCCTAAAATACCAATTCAGATTGATGATGGTGGCCTGCTGTATGGAACTGTGCTTCGGATTAAGATTTTTTTTTTTTAAAAAATTGACATCTGGAAAATGCGCTTTGCTTGTGCATCTTTCCAAAACATCAACAATAGTTGCTCAGATGAGCCAAGAATTTTCTTCCTTGCTATCTTCCCCCTCCACTGCAAATGAATGCAATGTGTACAGCAGTACTACTGAAAACCTTCCCTCCTCGCTCTTGCGCAATTGTACTTGAAACACAATGAGAAAAATTGAGCCAGGGAAACCATCCAGAGATTTGGCTTTTATTTAAGTTGCTTCATTTGCGAAAATAATAATAATGATGATAATGTTTTGCTCATGACTTGGTCCTCGGCAGTTTCAAGAGAGCCTTCTGACTTCCTAGTTTAGCCTAGGAAGTGAAACAAAGCTATCAGCCACCTTAATTTCAACAAAATTCTCTACAAAATGTTTATGGAGATTCTCAATCATGGAACACCAGGTCATGGTTGTCCCAAAGGCATTTTTTTCAAAAAGGTAACTGGACTTTCTTGGGTATTTTTTTTTCTTTGAAAATGTTTTGCTTCTCATCCAAAAAGCGTCATCAGAATTGAGGAAGTTTCTTGGATGAGAAGCACAACTCATCAAAGAAATAGCCAAGAAAGTTCAGATGCCTTTTGGAAAAAGCACCTTTGGGACTCTCTAGAAAATGTTGTTTTAAGCCAGTGGTGGGATTCAAATAATTTAACAACCGGTTCTCTGCCCTAATGATTTCTTCTAACAACCAGTTCACCAAACAGCTCAGAAAGTTAACAACCGGTTCTCCCGAAGTGGTGCGAACTGGCTGAATCCCACCACTGTTTTAAGCTATGAGATCTATATGTATAGATCTGGTATATTTTTTATTCTTTTTTTTAAAAAATAAATAAATAATAAAAAACAAGGGAAATTTTATCGGAAATTGCATGAACAGCTGGCAAAATGGGCAAACAATGAAATTTGTATGGTTGGGGATTTTAATGGAATTATAGACCCTAAATATGATTATAAATGTGATATAACTAAAAAGAATAAAAGATCTCCCTTACCAAAGACTTTTTTTGATTTAGTGGAAGAGATTAACCTAATTGACATGTGGCACACTTTACACCCCCATGATAGACAATTTACCTTCTATTCAATGCCACACAACTCCTGGTCCAGAATAGATATGGTCTGGGCTACCAGAAAACTGGGCCTAGAAATTAAAAAGGTTAACATGTGCACAAATGTTTGGGCAGACCATAAGTTCCTCGAAATTAGCTGGCACCATGATACAAAGAAAATACAACAGAGATGGAGTCTAAGGACTAAGTTGCTATACGAAGAAGAGTTTATACGGAAATTGAATGAAGAGGTCAAACGCTTCTTCACAGAAAATGGAAATCGAGAGACAGCCAAAGAAATTGTGTGGGATACTATGAAGGCCTATGTGAGAGGGGTAGCCATATCATATACTGCCTTCAAAAACAAGGAAAAAAGAAAGATCATAGAAGTGCTCACTAATAAGTTATTGCAAGCAGAAGATAAACTCCAGCAATGCCCGGGAGATGAGGCGTCCAAACGACAGTGGTTGATGACGAGACATAGATTGAACTTATTGGACCAGGAAGAAATGGCACAGAAAATAAAAAGATCCAAGCACTATTGTTTTGAAAA